ACCACAATAAAACACACGCAGCATCAGTATGACTCAATACGGCGTAACGTGACGGCTGTGACCCCACAGCAGGGAGGTCCTGGGAATCACAGAAACTCAGGAGAGGCTTCTCCAGCACACCGGCCACAAAGTCAACAACCCAGTGTAGCTGTGCAGTACAGCGACGAGAGCTCAGACCTGGAGAAACCAAACAGCCACTTCATAATATCAGCTATCAATTTTATTTCTATAGCACAAAGTGCTTCACGAGTAGTTCATGAACAAGAGAAAATAGAAAAATAACACATGATATAAGGCAAAGGCAACATATTTAACATAAAAACAAACACAAAACAAGCCTGATGGTGCTCAAACTGAACTTTGAGTTTCATCAAGCCAGTTTGAAACACTGTATAGACTCTGAAGTACGAATATCAAGTGACAAGTGATTCCCAGTGTTGGGAAGGGTAAATGTATTCCACTACAGATTACAGAATACATGCCCCAAAATGTATTTTTTAATGTATTTGTAACTGAATACTTTGGATTACTTAATCTATTATCATGCTTTTTACAACTACATGAATGTCCTATTGCTGTGATTTATTACTGTTACTGAAGGTTACTCACCATACCAACACCAACTAGATGTTTAAATCTTGATATAAATGAGTAACAGGTGGACATTAGGTAAGGCTGCACTTTTAGCAGCGATCTCGTGTAGAAAACTATTTCTGTATCAGTAATATGTTTTCTTTCTGTCTGTTAATAATCATGTGGAACTGCACATGATTATTTGCAGCTAGCAGGTTGCTAATGCTATCCATCAAGTCTTAAAAACAGCATGTTAATACGTGGAGATCCTGAAAGCTGCTCCAAAAATGATCAGATTTTATTTGAAATATTTGTTCAATTCTCCTCCAAACACCAGCAGCTGTCTGTTGTAGGTTTTGATTGTTTACTAAAATAATAATAAAAGTGTTCTAACAGCTCACTGATTTTATGTGTACTGTGTTTATTAAAAGAGATGAAGCTTGTGTTTCTGTCATGTAGTGATTATGCTTAACTGTATGATGCTTATTAGACATTATGAAGCAGGTGATACATGAAAGTGAATTTTGCCAAAGTGCTTAAGATGCTTTTTTAAATAATTTTTTATTTATTTATTTTTTATTTTTTTCCTGTCCCATTTGGATCTGTAGCCACCAGAATTGTTGTCTAAAGGCCAAGAAAGATGCCAAGCGGATTTACTTTAAACAAGTGGATCATCATTGCCATATTGGTCCATTTGATTGACCTTTATTATAATTATGTATTTATTTGATTTGATTTTTGGTTGTTACAGACGGGACAGACATGACTGGGGGATAGGACAGGGAGAGAGAATGAAAGAAAGAGAGGGAGAGAAAGAAAACCAGAGGAGA